CGTAGACAGTAGGCCCGCAAGCGTACCAGGTGACCTTTCGCCCCTCAGGATCGATGGGAATAAATGGGACTTTGGACCGCGTCAACGAGTTATAGACTTTCAGAGGAGGTAATCGAGCGCTGGCTTCGGGGTGTAACGTAGGCTGCTGCCACGGGGGCTGCTGGCGGGAGGAAGCCATTCTCCTGGAGACAGTGAAAGCAGAAATCGATGGAGGCCGCCGTCTGATTCGATACGTCAAGGAAAAGGCGAATCGGGGAGGAAAGAGTGTCATAAAGAAGGTCGACGAGACGAGTAGGAGGGGGGAGAGAGGGGCGCTTTACGCAATGAGGGGCCGGTGACTCAAAAGAACTGGCGACAAAAAAAGACCAGCCGCATCAACAGTGATCTCGGCCAGCAAGCCAGAGCGCTGAATGGCTGGGCGGGCTGCGGGATGCGGGTGACGCATGCCCTAAGCCCTACTGGGCAGTCCGCTTTGGGCGAGCTTCGAGAAAAAGAAGTTTTGGATAAGGCTGCAGCAGCTTCAACTTGCCCGCTACGGCAGCACTTCGGACTGGATTCCGGGATTGTCAGCTCGTTGCTGGGAAGAACAGCGAGCGTCACAGGTTACTGGATCTATAAGAAGCCATCCTCGCCATGCCTTCGCCTTTTCTCACGCCGGGGACCGTGTCCCGCCCGGACGAACTGGCCATCCTTCACCTCCGCAGAGACCTGCTTATCCCCACCATTTTGAGAACGTACGATGATGAGGATCTAGGATATGAGGAGGGCAAAGTCACGAATACTCGGTTCGGTTCATTTCCGCACAGCACCCTCATCGGACAGCCGTGGGGCTCGCAGATTGTCGCCTCCAAAGTCGATACTGGATCTCGAGGTCGCAGACCGGCACAAAAACCGAGCGATGATGGACAGCAATTGAAGCGCAAAACAGAGGAGCTAGATTCGCCCAATGCAACAGACGAGGCAAGGCCTCTGAAAGCGGCCGTCTCGGCGTCGAGCGGATTCATTCATCTGCTTCCTCCGACACCCGAATCATGGACCGCATCTCTTCCTCACAGGACGCAGGTTGTCTACACCCCAGACTACAGTTACATCCTTCACAGGCTTCGCGTGCGGCCTGGTAGCACCATCATCGAGGCTGGCGCTGGAAGTGGTTCGTTTACACATGCGGCGGCTCGCGCAGTATTCAACGGGTATCCCACGGATCAACCGCCTTCGAAAAAGAGGAGACTGGGGAAAGTCTGCAGCTTTGAATTCCACGCTCAGCGCGTTCAAAAAGTCCGAGAAGAGATTAAGCAACATGGGTTGGATGGGATCGTCGATGTGACACACCGTGATGTCTACAATGACGGCTTCCTTCTCGGTGATCCAAAGACCGGCCGATCGCCCAAGGCCAATGCCGTTTTCTTAGACCTACCAGCCCCGTGGCTGGCCCTTAAACATCTCGTCCGTGATCCACCATCTGGTTCCGAATCGCCACTAGACCCCTCTTCTCCTGTTCACATATGTACGTTCTCACCTTGCCTCGAGCAGGCACAGCGAACTATCAGTACCCTCCGACAATACTCGTGGCTATCAATATCAATGGTAGAGGTCAGCCACCGCCGCATTGAAGTCCGGCGGGAACGGTACGGGTTGGATGCTGAAGGCGTACGCGGCGCAGTGGTGTTTCCTAAATCAGTGGACGAAGCCGTCTCGAAACTCCGAACGGTCGAAAACCGCCAGAAGGAATGGCGCAGGCACCAGCATGAGCGAAGAGACGGCGATGGTACGTCTGAAGATCGGACAAAAAGAGAAGAGGAGAATGAGAATGAAAGTAATAGCGCGGACCACGTTGAGGATGCTACCACGACATCTTCATCTCAGTCACAGATCCCATCGTACGAGCAGGGCCGCCTGGTCCACCGCACAGAACCAGAGATCAAAACACATACATCGTATCTCGTGTTTGCGGTTCTGCCTCGTGCCTGGTCTGAAGAAGATGAAAAGAGATGTCGCCAGGCGTGGCCATCCCGACGTCAATCCGGTGATGGTGCGGAGGCACAAGAACCAAAGACCAAAAGGCAAATGAAGAGGGAGGCTCGAGCACAACAACGACAGCAACAGCAACAGCAACAGCAGATCAGCCAAGAGCAGCAGCAGAAAGGAGAAGAAGCTACTGAAGAGCCAAAGGATGAGAGTGCAATGGATATTGATGAGTAAAGCGACCTAATTCGTTGGTTGGCCAAAAATAAAACGATAGAGAGAAAA